TAAACTCTGCTTCAGGGGGTTATGATGAGAGTGAGAAGTTGGATATATGTTCAAATTGCTGCATGTTTGTTACATACATGTAGGTATAAGTTACCATACCTAGCAAACCCCACCAACTCACATGCGGCGTTGAGCCCGCATACCAACCGCTTCCAGCCAGGTAGCAGGGTAGCAAAGAAACCCCCCTGTCAAAGTCGGCCGGCCGGTCTCCGAATTACGCAGAGGCTAAAAAGTTATCTGATCTAACTTGCGGTACTTCGTACCCAAAGCAGCTAAACTACCTGAACTACGTACTACTTGAATTGAAGATCGCAGGTAGGCGTGTATGTATTGTATGTGGGTTCTCTTGTATGTGTGTATGTATGTATGTATGTATGCATGCATGCCACTAACCTTGGCTGCTTGGGAAGATTTTCATCACCTTCGACTCGCCGAGCGACTGAACACCAGCACCCCCCCACGACGTTCCCCATTGCCTTCCCTGTCGAGCCCCGAATAGCCTCAAGCCTGTTTCGCGACACTGTTCCAAGCCTCCCCCAGCTCTTGTTACAGCTGCAAGCGGACGTAGGCGGATACTCGATCCCGCCTTACCTGGGCAACCGGGCCAATATATCAACCATCCGCATCAGGTCGGCCATACACCAGATATATACAAGAGGTCCGCTAGCCGCAACTACAGCCTCGGCCGTTGCGTTGCCGCCATTGCCGCCGTCGACCTGCGCGACTGCGATACCGTTCCCCCGTTGTCGCCTTCAATCGTAACCCTGGCGCTTCAACCGGAAACGTTCGGCGCAGGCCCTCAAGCTGTGGCCAAGATGGCCCAGCCCACTGCCGAGCCTATTGAGGATTACGAGTATGTCCTGCTTGCTTAGTTGCTTGGTTGCTTGGTTTCTTGGTTGCTTGGTTGCTACGATCTGGATCTGGTCCAGCCTTTGGTGCTGCTGGCGGAACATTTCTGACTGACACGGTTGCTTCAGCTATGAGTCTCTGCCGCCCAACTTCTCACTGGCTCAAAACATGGTCGCTGGCGCCTTCGCTGGCATCGCGGTATATATGAAGTGAAAAACCTCGGGGGCAGATCATGGTGAGCTGACGCAATTGCTAGGAACACACTGTCATGTATCCTATTGACGCCATCAAGGTGTGCCACGGCCGTCTCCATCCCACAATTTGCGCCTGCAGAACTGATACTCCGTCCCCAATAGACACGAATGCAAATTATAAATCCCTCCGCGAACGCCGTATACCAGGGCATGATCCAGAGCACCTTAAAGATAGCCAGTGGAGAGGGTGTCACGAAGTTATGGCGCGGCATGTCGAGTGTCGTAGTAGGAGCTGGTAAGACGCCATGTTTCTAAGCGACGCCGCCCTCGCCCCTACGAGCGTCTTGCTGCGTTCTTCTCGCATTGACAACAGCTATGCAGGACCTGCGCACGCCGTGTACTTTGCGACATACGAGGCAGTCAAGCACCTAATGGGCGGCAACAGAGCTGGTGTCCACCATCCCCTTGCAGCAGGTAAGAAGACACTGAATATTGAAGAGTAGCCGGCTGGCGGTCCTGGAAACTTCTTGCTAACTTGCTTGTAGCTACAAGCGGAGCGTGCGCTACTATCGCTAGCGATGCCCTGATGAACCCCTTCGACGGTATGTGTCTAGCTACTCCCTCCGACTAAACAGAACTGCCTTGGACACTTTGCGCCTGGTCGTGCGCATAGCTCGTAATGTGTCTAACAATGCGCAACAGTCATAAAGCAACGTATGCAGATCCAGAACTCGAGCAAGGTGTACCGGTCCATGTTCGATTGCGCCAAGTACGTCTACAAGAATGAGGGGCTCTCGGCCTTCTACATTTCCTACCCGACGACATTGTCCATGACGGTCCCCTTTACCGCCTTACAATTTCTCGCCTATGAATCTATCTCGACGGCCATGAACCCAACCAAGCACTACGATCCATTTACACATTGCACGGCGGGCGCAGTAGCTGGCGGGTTCGCGGCCGCTTTGACGACGCCCATGGATGTCATCAAGACAATGCTGCAGACGCGCGGGTCTGCCTCGGATCCCGAATTGAGGTTGGTCAACAGCTTCGCCGGAGGCTGCAGGCTCCTATACCGGCGCGAAGGAATCCGTGGCTTTTTCAAGGGAGTTAAGCCGAGAGTGGTTACGACCATGCCAAGTACGGCTATCTGCTGGACGGCATACGAAGCTTCCAAGTAAGTCTGCAACGCTTGTTCCCGTCCGAAGCACTGCCACCGGTTACTAATCGCATGTCTCCTTTCTTTTTCTTTTTCTACTACTAGGGCATACTTCATTCGCTCGAACACCTCCTGACGCCATATCCGGGAGTCCCGGCTTATGCCCAGCGTTTGACGAGAGTGTGCGGTTGACTCGGCTCGGAGTTGCCCAACCCTCCCCACACCGACTTTGCTGCTTAGCCCCGATGCAACAACCGAGCCCGAGGAGACGAAGGAAAACTCATCTTGGCACGTCCCGCGCATGATTCAACCAGCCTCTTACCGAATCTGAGCTGGGCACCCCCAGGCACCCCACACCTAGAATTAATTCTTACGTGTGTGCGTGCGAGATTGCGATATCGGCGGGTGCATTTACATGGTCACCTGAAATGGTGACAATTATCAACATATCTCTCTGGAAAGCCATCGCACGTTCCGCCTTTAGAGCCCAGCAAGGTGTCTCGCCTGCGATATTTTTTGTCATGTTTGCGAACTATCCTGCCGAGCAATCAAGGGGGAATTTGAGAGGCCAATAGAACAGACCAGGGGGGGTTTATCGGACACGAATGTACATAGCCCATTTTTTTACCCCTCTAAAGCCCCTCCAACCTCCCAGCCTCCCTCCCGTCCTCAACGACATCGCCTGGGGGCGCTATTTCTTATGAGAGAAAAAATAAAAATAAAAGGGGTTCAAAGAAGAAAATGGGGGTTGACTGGATGAGACGGCGTTCCATGGCTTCGTTTGTTACTCATGCTCACGGGCTATCTTCGGGGTACAGGGGGAAAAGAGCTGAAATGACGGTTCGATTGCTTTGTTTTTTGCGATGCGTTACGGTTTTGGTGGCTCCGCCCTCAGCCCCCCACGCAAGAGGACTTGCACTATGGTACGGTATGAACCTGACTTGTATACTATTCTACGGATAGACGGAAAGAAAGAGAAACGGGAATGAAGACCAACCAACTGAGCCTCTTGTGTCTTGAGGCCAGTCGAACAAATTTTCATGCATATGCGGTTTATATGACGAAATGGCCCTGTATGTGAACAGACCTGCCTGGTCGATCGATCAGCCTGGCTGGCTGGCTCACCAACGGGCGGTTGTCATTGAATGTGATGGACGCTGTATACCTACCGTGGATCTGTAGGCCATGCTAATAAGAGGTTATGCATAGTTACTTCACTTCTACATGCCCCCGTCGATCAAACTCATACAGACCTTCTTGATGCAACTACTGCCATATTCGTTGAGCTGACTGCAAGCTATTGTTTTTCGTGTAGCTAGATACCTGAGATTATACTCGACCATTGCTGCAGGGAATCAATCTCAACCACATCGCACGTGATACATGTAGGCCGACTCAGGCGGGTGCTGCATGTAGAAGCGTTATCGAGTTTGATAGGTAGACTGCGGAACTGTTGGTCGTTATCCAACTGTGCCCCCCGCCCCGGCCATATCGCGTACAATGAGTCCTATCAATGTGCTGTGTCACTTCTGAAACTTATCGAAATCCAGGGCATGAAATTGTTGCAGAACGCCGTAGCCATCTTGTCTCTGTCTCACTCATAGTTACTTGAGGCGAAGAAGTTGAACTGTAAGCCCAAGATCTGTATTTATTTGCACGTTGGGTGGATACGGGTAGCGAGTGAGTGTCGAGCTGTCTGTCCGAAGGCGTAACTTCTATGCATCGTTGGTATGGACGGGCTACTTGCTGCCTGCTACTTTACGTCTACCTATGCGGTATCTCAAGTAAGCATAACCCGGAACCGCAAGCAGCATGTTCTATGATCAAGAGAAGTCGTCGCTGTCTCACTAGGTAGTTAGGGAATGGTCACTCCAGGAGCGAATGTTGCGATATAACGTGTTGTAGACATCTATATGTCCATGCCGGCCTTGGACCTGGCCTCTAGCCTCCGTCTGGGGGGGTTATGCCGATGCCGATGTCACAGATCACCAACGACCGCTCCTCTCACGGAGTTTCCGGGTACGAAGCATATGCGACGCAATCGGAATCATTCTCAAGAGTGCTCCATTACTCCGTAGGTATGGCCAGTCCAGGCCATTTTGCGCTGCTGCTCGGGTCTGCTTACACCCGATGCCGTATGGGATGAATGACTGACTGGTCAGCAGTCTGCCAGTTCGGTACAACCTTCTGGAGGCACTGGTCTCAATTCTGTTTGAGATGCAAAGGTGGAATGAGAAAATCCAGTTAGATATCGCACGTCAAGGAGACCCTTGACCGCCATTGGTTGAATTGCACTTTTGTGAAAAGCATAGCGAACTAGCTCCTGGCTGGTCTATTATGTTCTTCGTAGATCACACAGGACTGGCGAAGGATGCCATTGGCATAATAACTTCGGAGCACTATAACTCCCAACAGGAAAAGCAGCTCCTGCTACAGTTTCGCGGCCAAACCGTGAGTAGAACCGATGTTCCCTCAGTATTGCGGGAGTTCGAGTACTTCAATAATAGCTTGTGTATTATAGTATAGATAGCACGCGGCAGGCATCATAACCAAAGCCCCCTCCTTGGAATGTGTATATACTACAGCCTAACTCGCGAGGCCTGGCTCGGGTCTGGACTCTGCGTGTGCAAATAGTTTCCCAGTGTGGCACCGGGTCAATTCTCGTCAAACAGCTTCTCTTACTATTACCGGGCCTTGCTTGGTTTGTCCCTAGCCCCTCAAGCCCGACTACTTAGACACCCCACTACCGCCCACAACCAGACTATATATGAAAATGGCGTGCAGAAATGATTATATTGGCTGGCGACATGGCCGAGTGGTTATGGCGGAAGTTTCAAGGTTCACCTTGCCTGCACTACAGGCAGTATATGCTTCTGGGGCAACCAACACGAGTTCGAGTCTCGTTGTCGTCAAGATCTCGTTGTCGTCAAGATAGAACAACTAACTAGATCTTTAATCTTACTAGTATTTTGTTGCATTTCTTTTTGCCGTCTTCTCGGCTGGAACAGATTAAACGAGACTGGAGTGAATGAAAGTGAGATCGGAAAAGGGGTGAAAACTCGGACCTGCGGCCGGTCTGAAGTCGGTGCTTGGCATCGGAGAGTGGGCCTTCCGAACGGCACCGGCTTTGGAGAATCGGAACGGCACAATGATTTAATGACGGGATTGATGTGGCAGTGTGGCTGCTTGGATGCAATGGGGCACCCCAGCGACAGGTGTCGACCAGTTGGAAGGTAGGGTAGATCCCGTAGATGGACCCCCGGCCCTACGTAACTACAGCCCTGGAGGCTGCCTACATAGTACATACAGCCAGGTACAGGTGCACCTTGACCCACCTGCAGACGCCCGCCATAGTGGGCAGAATGGCAGCTGCAGCTTCGATGCAGCTGCAGCTAATTAATTTTTGGGCTGCAAAAGTTGGAAAGCAATTGAAGAAGGAAAGAAAGAAAGAAAGTGGAAAGCGACGACGCAGCACACGACCTCGACCTCGACCTCGACCTCGACCTCGACCTCGATCCCGAATCAGACGACGACTGGAAGCGATTGTTTACCAGATACCAGACACCAGAAGACCGTTACCCTCCGACGATGATCGCACGACCCCCCACGACACAATAGCGTAAACGAAGATACCAGGAGGACTCGGAGGAGGGGAGGATACAAAACACCACCGCCCCGTCCGTAGCAGACGGACACAGACCAGCCATACCTCACTCCACACTCCACACACCACACACCGCACACCGCACACCGCACGATGGCGGCGTCACAGACTTTAGCCGCAGCGGCCAACACGACCGTGCAGCGGGTAGCGAAAGAGTTCCACGGCATCGTCGTCTCGGCCGGCAAGATGGACAAGACCGTGAAGGTCAAGTACGGCGGCATGAGATACGAACCTAAAGTACAAAAGGTACGTACTTGCTGCTGCTGGTCCTTGTCCTGCATTCAGTTCTTCTAGTGGGGGTAGGGGAAAGGGGGGAAGAGGGCAAGGGGGAAACGAGAGGCTTCGTTACAGTAGCACCCTTTCGTTACCCAACGACCAGTCGAACTTTCCCATTGTCCCTATCTCACCCTCTCTCTTCCTCCCCTCTCGGATTTCCAAAACTAATCAACTCCCCACCCCACAACCAGTACTTCAAGCAACCGCGGTACGCGCTCGCGCACGACCCGCGCAACTCGACGCGGCAGGGGGACGTGGTGGCGATCGCGCAGAGCTGGCGGGAGTCGCAGCACGTGCGGCACGTGGTGCGGCACATCATCGCGCCGTACGGGCCGCCGATCTCCGAGCGCCCCCCCGTGCCGACGCTGGAGGAGCGCGTGGCCGAGCGCGCCGCCCGCCGCGAGGCCAAGGACGAGCGCCGCGCCGAGCGCCGCCGCGTCGCCATCCTCGAGCGCGCCGTCGCCACCTTGGAGGACCGCGACGCCCCCCGCGCCCTGCGCAAGGGCGGCCACATCCTGAAGGAGGTCGCGCAGGCGCTGGGGGTGCCGGTGCCCGGGGAGGGGCAGGGGCAGGGGCAGGGGGGTAAGAGGGAGGAGAATGGGGATAGCGAGGTGGATTAAAGAAGGCTGGGGTCGTGTAGAAGAGGAAAAAACATAAAAGGAGGGGAAAGAAAAAAGGAAAGGGAAGGGGAAAAAAGGGCTGGGGGGAGAGCCTGTAGCACGCTATGAAGTACCTACTTATGTACCAGCGCAAATCACAGTTCACGATGGCAGGAGATAAAGAAGTTGTGTGTACGATCAGCCAAGCTGGGCTCGGCCGGATGGGTATCCGCCTTCGAAGGGGAAGGAAGCGCAAGAGCTGCTTACACCCTTCTCCTATCCTACCTACATAGTCGTTGTCACTATCGGCTTTGCGGATCTAGAAGGCACGGCACCAACGATACGGCGTGTTCTGTATGAATATATAGATGTATACATAACCTATCTCCCAGCTGTAGCATGTTTTTGTACAATCGCAGTGACCGGGGGTTGCAGGAGTATCTATCTATTTACCATATAGTTCCAACTGCTACTGATAGACTGACTAATGCGATATACCAAGCCCCAGCCGGCATCTTTTGGAGCCTTCCTCCCCCCCTTTACTTTGTTTATCCTGACACCTGTCTAATAGGTATATCATCCATCATACATATGCCAGCTGACTTTGACTTCTGTGTCAAGTTCCAGTCCCTATCCCGGCCCCAGTCCCAGCCCAATCCCAGTCCGGCTCAGCTTTGGCAAGAAAAAGAAGGAAGAATATAACCAACTGCACAACGCCCGCTCCCATCACCTCTTTTCCTTTCCCTCGTAGGGGTAAAAGCAGCGAGTGACCTTACTTACTGCTTGCTGCAACTTCTCTTGATATGAGTAATTGGGATGCTACTGATATCTATCACCCCCTTACTCAATCACCCCCCGCGCTCCCCGTACTGCCTCGCCCAGTCCTCGTACTCCTTCAGCCCCTCCTTACCAACACTAGGCCGGATGGCGCGGAGACTCGCGCGGAAGTCGGCAAGCTCGATCGGCCGGATCTGGTCCATCGTCATGTGCAGCAGGGCCTCGCCGAGGGAGCGGAGGGGCCCCATGGCCGCGTCCTTGGCCAGGGCCGTGATGTCCGAGCCGGAGAATCCTGTATCGACCGATTAGTTGTCAAATCCGCAACATATAAACAGGCACATAGTGATCCGGCCCCATACAGGAGAAGTATCATGACCGAGAGGGGGGGAACCAAAAAACCAAAGCAAATCAAAACTTACCATCTGTCAAGTCGACCAGCTCGGCTATGTCCGCGTCCGTGAGGCTGTGCTTCTGCTGGCTGAGGAGCGTCCGGAGCTGGCTAGCCCGCGTCTCCGGCTCCGGCAGCGGGATGTACTGCCGGCGGACGAAGCGGCGGCGGGCCGCTTCGTCGATGGCCCAGGGCAGGTTCGTCGCGGCGAGGACGAGGACGCGGTTCGGATCACCAATCCCACTCCCGCTCTCTCCACCACCACCAACCCTTTCCCCTCCCCCTCCCCCTCCCCCTATTCCTGCTCCTGCTCCTGCAGGCCCCCCAGCTGCTGTCCCCCCCAGAGAACCGCCACCGCCACCGGCGGCGGCGGTAGTAGTAGTGGGCTCGCGCCCCGCGGCGGCCCTTTGCAGATCGCTCCACTGGATGAGGAACTCTGTCTTGATGCGGCGGGTGGCCTCGTGCTCGCCGGCGCCGGCGCCGCGGCGGGACAGGAGGGAGTCGATCTCGTCGACGAAGATGATGCTGGGGGCGAGGCGGCGGGCGAGGGCGAAGAGGGCGCGGACGAGCTTCTCGGACTCGCCGAGGTACTTGCTGGTCAGGCTGCTGGCCGAGATGGAGAAGAAGGCGGAGCGGGACTCGGTGGCGACGGCGCGCGCCAGCATGGTCTTGCCCGTGCCGGGCGGGCCGAACAGCAGCATGCCGCGCGCCGGCTCCCGCAGCCCCATGAACAAGTCCGGCCGCAGGAACGGGTACACCACCGTCTCGCGCAGCGCGTTCTTGGCCACCTCGAGCCCCGCCACGTCCGACCACCGCACCTCGTCCCCCTGCACCACGATCTCGTTGAAGATCGCCCGCGCCGCCGCCTCGTCGACGCCCGGCGGTAGGCTCCGGAGGATCGCCTTCTTCTTCTGCTCCCAGCTGCTGGCCCCTCCGTCCCTCCCTTTTTCTCTCCCCTTCTCTCCGTCGCCTAGCGGATCGTTCGCTGCCGCCGGGGATGGGAGCGGGGACTGGGGCTGCGGTGGCGGCGTGTTGGTGGAGACAGCGCCGAGTGGTATCTCTTTTTGTTTCCCTTTCCGCCTCCGCTGCTGGGACGGACTCGGTTCTTCCAAATCCTCGTCAGTCGTCAGGGTGGAGTCGGACTTCAGTTCCGAGTTGGACCTTCCACGGGCTACCCGCCGCCTCCCGCTATTCGGCTCAGGCTGCTGCTGCTGCTGCTGCTGTATACGGTGGTGATCAACGGGCTTCCTCCTTATCGAGCTTTCAGTCGGGGTTGCAGCCTGGCTAGGCGTCGCACTTACTCCGTCGGTCAATTTCGTCAGGCTCGCTCTTAGCGAGGAGCTGGAGTGTCTGGGGCCTGATCTTAAGGTGGGATCTTGTCTATCCTGAAGGGAGAGGGAGTTGATGGCGCTCGAGGCAGCCCCTAGCGCCAGTGTTGACGGACCACTCGACGACGCATAATCCCCCGATGTCCGCGATGGGGGTTCCGGGTCCGCACGGGTGCGGGATGCCGTGGCAGTACTGCTATCACGAGGCACCAGCCGTCTTCTATGACTGTCCCAGTGCGTCGAGGTCGTCGTCGGTTCAGAGGCCGAGTTCGTTCTGCTATAGTCGGTGGAGCGCCTCACTTCGGGCAGCTTAGGGGAGGCGTTGGAAACGTCCGTGGAAGAAGTCCTTGCGGGAGGGGGTTGTCTGGAAATAATACTCGTCCAAGCCAAGGTGGCGGCCTTGCTCGCGCCTGGGCCTTTGGTGATCTTGGACACCGGTGAGGATCGGAGCGTTCGTGTGGATTTATCTGACTTCCCGGACCGCAGGGTCGTTCGCATACTATGTCTGTCGGGGCTAGGCGACCGATCCGCAGCGGGGTTCTTGGTTGTGGACGGGCCATATGGGGGTAGAGCCGGCGGACGCGTGGAATTCGGGGGTAGCGACTGATCCGCTCTGGAATACCCGCCTGTCGCAGGCTGCTCGCTCGAACTCTTAGGTGGCAATGACGGCCGCTTCGTCAAGGGTGGCTTCGATAACTCTGTATATGTTATAGCAGGGATAGTTCCCTCCCCAATCCACCCTTTCTCCGCGAGTTTGTGGCCGGACGATGATGACGATGCTGTTGCTAGTGGTCCTTTCACAGTCGTCTCAGCGCCAGTAGCGCTTGGCGTAGCTAGGGTGGACGAGTCTTCCTCCCGCGATATTCGGAGGGCCTCAAGA